CCCTTCCTGCCAAATGCAGGCCCCTCCTCTGACCTCCTTCAACCCAGGTAAAGGCGCGCACCACACCGGAGACCGGAATCCCAACATCACAGTAGCTGCCCCAAGGGGAGTCTCAGGCAGCCATCCATCCTGGCTTGGCGGCCCTGTCCACGCAGCCACTGGCCGGGCTCTCTCCAGCCTGGCTCTGCCCTCTCCAGGTGAGGGAGGGGGAGAGTAGGGATCCCCTCCCTCTAAGAATAACCTGTGAATTATAGCTATCCCGTCACCTCATAGCCCATTGGCCAGAAATGGGTCACATGATTGCATTGAGCTGCAAGGGAGCCTGGGAAATGTAGTTTTTATGCTCAGCAGCCATAGAGCTACTTAATAGAACCCCTATTACCGCGGAAAGGGCGAGAGTGGATCCTGGGCATGAGGGTAAAGGTCAGAGGTCCAGGCACTGGGCGTCCTGAGCTCGGCCACACCCACCAAGTCTCTTGCCACACGAGGGGACATTCACAGGGGAGTAGGATGAGGACATTAAAAATATATATTTTTTTGAAACGCAGATGACAGGGAGAGGGAGAGACGGACAGCTTCCGTCTGCTGCTTCACTTCCCAAATGGCTCTAACGTCCTGGCCAGCTGAAACCAGGGGCCTGGAACTCCGTCTGGGTCTCCCACTTGGGTGCAGGGGCCCAAGCCCTTGGCCCATCCTCGGCTGCTTTCCCAGGTGCATTAGCAGGGAGCTGGATGGGAAGTGGAGCAGCCAGGCCTTGAACTGGCGCTGTTACGTGGGACACCGGTGTCACAGCCCAGGGCTTCACCCACTGCACCGGTCACCACTGTGCCCCGTCCGCCCCTTCTGGCCCTGCCTTCCGACTTTCTGCTCGGTCAACTCATGTAGACAGCCTTGTCTAAAAGCGCACTGGGCACCACTCCAGCAAGTCCATTAATCCACTGAACAGGCCCCCAGGAGCACCAGCCACGTGCTGGACCCCAGCAAAGGGGCCCAGGGCCAGGGCTGCAGAAGTAGCCCGCCCAAGCCTGTCCAATCAGAGCGCTCCAACACCCCGCCACGGTGATTGGGTCATGTAAGGACATGTGACCTAGCTTCAACCAATGAGAGGCAGCCTGGGGCGTGGCTCACGGAGCTGGCGCAGGACGAGGTCCCGGAGGCGCCGCAAGCCCTTGCGCCAAGCCGGGGGACAGCGTGCTTGCGGGCGTGGCCAGCGCGGAGAGGAGCAGAGTGGAGGGTGGTGTGGAGGCGATCCTGACGCAGCTGAGCGCCGAGATGCAGCCACCCTGAGCCAGTTAAGAACAGGCTCCCTGCCCTCCTACAAGACAGGAGGGACCCTGTGCCCCGCAGGGGTCCCCAGAGCGCCCGGGATTGTGGGTGACGAGACCCTGTGGCTGGCCAACACCCTGCCTCATCCAGCAGCCACCGTGCTAGCTGTTCCATTTCACAGATGAGAAAATCGAGGCTCTGGGAGGGGGCAAGTCTGCGACTGCCTCTCCCTCAAGTCCTTAGTCTTGTGTGTGTGTTAAAGATTTATTTATTTATTTGAAAGGCAGAGTGACAGAGAAAATGATCATCCATCCACCAGTTCATTCTTCAAATGACTGCAACAGGCAGGTCTAGGCCAGGCCAAATCAGGAGCCGGGGCCTCCATGGGAGTCTCCCACATGGGTGCAGGGGCCCAGGCACTGGGGCCGTCCTCGGCTGTCTGCGCAGGCGCATCAGAGGGCGCTGGATCACAAGCAGAGCAGCCGGGGACTTGCACCGTGCTCAGCTGTGGCAGCGGGAGGGCGCACTGGGCCAGGGTGCGGTGTGTCCGGGGCACGTGGGGTGCGTGTGACCTGGAGGTGGTCGGGGGTGACGGCATTGCCCAGCGTCCCCAGGAGGGGACAAGTCAGGGTCCTCACTGTGTGCGCCCTGAGGTGCAGAGGGGCAGCCGCATGGGCAGGCTGGCTCTGGCCGCCACTGGGCTGCGGGACCTGGGGGCAAGTGACCCGGCTTCCTCCCCTGGGGTTGGGGACAAGCCCGGGCACCTGCCGGGCTTATCAGGGAGGGGTGACCAGAGTGTGTGCACGCAGCCTCCGCAAAGGAGCGGGAGCCATCCCTGTCCCAGAGCCCCCTCGCACCCTCTCAAGGCTTCTGAGCGAGCCGGGAGCAGTCCTGGTGGTGCACACGGGGCAGAACCCCCAGCACCTCCCCTCCGACCCCCCTGGCTCCCTGCGGGAGAAGAGGGTGCCAGGTTGGGCTGTCCTAGATTCTCCGGGTGCTCTCTCCCTCCCAAATAGTCCTTTTATTATTTAGATTTAACTCAACTTGAAAGCCAGGTAGAGAGATCTTTCGTTTGCTGGTTCACGCCCCAGATGGCTGTAATGGCTGGGGCCGAACTCCATCCGGGTCTCCCAGGACCCAAGCACTTGGGCCGCCCTCCACTGCTTTCCCAGGCCGTTAGCAGGGAGCGGGATCAGAAGTGGAACAGCCGGGATTGGAACTGGCGCCCACTACCCAGAGACAACCGCTGGGATTAGCAGAGGTCCAGCGGCTTCCTCCTGACTTCAGCCCAGTTCCAGAGGGCAGATTCCTATTGGCTGATGCCTCCCGGGCAGCGCCAGTCTTCTGGCCAGGGATTGGCTGAGTGATGGGGGTGCTGGCCAATGAGAGCAGAGGGAATGCCCCTGGGGAGTTATTATTATTTATTTATTTATTTATTTCTTCTCGGAGGCTCACCTGGGGAGGAATCCGCTTCGCTGGGTCTGAGCCCGATGAGCCCAGGTCCTCGTTCTTGCCTCCGGGTTGCAGAAGGGGGTGGTGGAGGTGGGGGGGTGACTGTACCTGGTGGCTTACAGCACCCCCACCTGCCACGTTTGCACCCCCATCCCTCACTCCATGGTGTCTACGACTTCTCGAAAATTCTGCCAGCAAATGCTGAAGCCAGGAAATAATAAGGTTTTTTTTTTCCCTTTTCTATAAAATATTTTAATGATCTCCCATTGCGGTAAAGCACATATAAAATTTATCATCTTACAGATGTTTAAAAAGTCAGCTGTTTATTGCTATCCTATGAGGCACACTCATGCACCTGCACACACACACACACACAATGGCCAGGGCTGGGCCAGGCTCAGATCGGGAGCCGGACACTCCACCCACGTCTCCCACACGGGCGGCAGGGACCCAGCTGCGGGGGCCTCGTGAGCAGGAAGCTGCAATCCTGAGCTGGAGGGGGGAGTCGATCCCAGCACTCCGATGCGGGATGCGGGATGCGGCGTCTTCACCACCAGGCCAACGCGTCTCCTTCATCTTCAAGGGCACACAGTCCGGTGGCGCTGCGCCCCTCACCGTGTCGAGCGGTAGAACATCCTATGACGTCAGCCCCTGGCAGCCCGACTCCATTTCCTGTTGCTGGATTGGCTGGTTCGGCTGGTTTCTCAGACACGGAGTTGCACGGGGTGTGCCCTGCTGTGTTGAATTCCCCCCACGTGGAGGCGGGGACCCGTGTTTCCTTCCTTTTGACGGCTGCGTAGTACTCCATCCCACAGTGGTCAGTGCTGGTCCGAACGCTGGCAGATGAACATTCAACTGAACACCTGCCTTCCGTTCCCGTGAGCGCCTGCGCAGGGGTGGCGTTCCCGGCCGTTTCATTTTGTCAGCAAAGTTAGATTATCCGGCTGACGGTATCACTTCACGCACACACTCCCTGTGCCTAGGGAGCCCCTGACCTCCAGCAGAGCCCCCTAACACCTCTCCCTCAGACGGCCAGTTGCATTTGTCTCCAGCTAGAGCGAAGTGTGCACCAGACCTGTCCCAAGGTCCTGGGGCCACCGTCCACTCCTGGCTCTGGGTGCCGGCTGGGTCCTGGAGCTCGGGCTTCCTCTGCTTCTGATTCAGCCAAGGCAAATCCTGGGAGCCAGGTGGGGGCACAGGTACTGGGGCCCCAGCCACCACGTGGGGACCTGGGTGGAGTTCGAAGCTCCTGGCTTCAGCCTGGCCCAGCCCTGGCTGTTGTGATCATTTGGGGAGCGATCCAGTCATGGGAGATGTAAATAAATAAATAAAGTTTAAACAGAAAAGAAAGGTTCTTGGAGTGGACAGTGGGCACAGGTTCAAGTGCGCCCACCGGTGTTCCGGTCCTGAGTTCCCGCCCCTGAGTCCCTGCCCGCAGAGACGTTGGCAGTCCTGAGAGCTGGGACCAACGGTCACTGGCTCCCAGGCAGCAGACCGCTCCGGGGCCTTGGCCTCCAGCTCCCTGGAGGCCACGTCTCGTCCCTCCCTGCCGATGTTACCCTGAGACGGGAGCCGGGGAGGGGCCTGGGCCAAGCCCTTGCCCGCGCCTGGCTCTCGCGGATCCCGGTGTGTGCTTCCCCCAGCGTCTCCAACAGCCGGCGCCACACAGCAGCCTCGGAGACCCCCAGGGCTGCACCCTGAGGTCCTGCACCGGTCGGGGGCAGGAGCAGGGCCTCGTCCGGTGGTGCAGCCCGCGGGGCCGCGTCCTCGCCAGCGCCGGTGCCTCTCGCTGGCCCGGTCCCGACGCAGTCACCTCCTGGTGTCTGTCTGTGGCGAGCTGTCCTCACTTGCCACGGATCTGTAGGAGACAGCCTGCGGTGGACATGGCACAGTCAGCCTGGGGCCTCTCTCCCGCCCCCTGCTGGCCTGACCACGCCAATGCCGGACCCTCAGCCTCCTCCCGCTCTTCAGGGAGCCCCCGCCGCACTCACCCCGTTGGCCGAGGCGCTGGAGTGGTCCGTGCCTGGAGGAGACACAAGGAGACTTGGAGGGACAGCGCCGGGAAGCCCCGTCCTCCCCGCCGCGGGGGTCAGGGCCCCCAAAGTGCCTTTTTATTTTTATTTCAGATTTTATTTACTTGAAAGAGACAGATAGCAAGGGACGGATAGGCCCACAGGGACTGCGTATGAAACTGGCCCAGTGGGTAAGAGGCCTGCATCCCACACCACAGGGCCTGGGTTTGAGTCCAGCTTCCTGCCGACTCAGACCCTGGGGGGCAGCAGTGAGGCTCAAGTGCTTGGACCCCTGCCACCCACGCGGGAGACCCGGATGGAGTTCCCAGCTCCTGGCTTCCCCTGGCCCGGTCCTGGCTGTTGGCAGGCATTTGGGGAGTGAGCTAGCAGGAGGGAAGTTCTCTCTTTCTCTCTCTGTGCACCTGTCAGGAGCTGGGGCTGGGCCAGGAACCAGGAACTCCGACAGGCAGGGCCCCCCATGTGGGCGGCAGGGACCCAGGTACTTGAGCTACGTAGCTGGAATCCACAGCGGAGCCGGGACTCGAACCCGGGCCGTGTCTTGCCCACCGCGCCAGGCGCCCGCCCAGCCTTTGCAATGTGGAGGGTGGGGCTGCAGGTTCCCGAGTTCCTGGGTCCCCGCCACCATTCTCTAGGGCGCCCTGCTGAGAAAGGCGATGGGGGGGGGCTGTGGGGCCCAGGGTGCGCACCTGCCCACCTTTGTCCTGAATGAAGAACAAAGTCTTTCTGGGGGGAGGGGCCTCCAGACCTCTGCACGCTCTGCCCCCCACCCCCCTTGCTAAATATTTGTAAAGTCAATGAGCGGTGGGCGGGCCTCCCTGGTGACGGGATCTTTCCGGTAAAACAGGGGTGCCCTGTGGTTCCCCGAGCTGGGGAATTAGGGAGAGGCTGACGGGGGGGGGCAGGGGAAGGGGGGAACTCACGGGAGCGGCTGCAACGCCGCCGGAGGTAGAGCAGGATCCCCAGCAGGATGAAGCCCAGGACGCCCCCGAAGACCAGCACAAGGACGGTGTTAGTGACGGACATGCCCGAGCCTGGCTGCTCCCCGGGCCGGGCCTCTGGGCGAGAAGGAGGAAACGGGTGTCAGGTAAGGGGGCTTCCGGGGTTCCTGTCTGCCTGGAGGACACACCCCAGATTTCCTTTGGGAACTCCTCGGTCTAGGTGGGTCGGGTGGACCTGGCTCCACTCTCCGCTTCTAGGAGGGGACGCTGACTCAGGCCCAGCCAATCAGAACACCCATCTCTCCGGGCTGCTGTGATTGGTTCATCGACCCAGGTTGGGCCAATGAGAGGCAGCCCTGGGACTTTGGCTGGGAGCTATTTGAAAAAAGAAGGTTTTTTTTTTTTTTTTTATTGTTTATGTTATATGTTCCCCTACCCCTGGGATGGCTTATGTCTGCAGCTACTGGGAGCCACCTTGCTTTCCTGAGGACAAAGCCAGCAAATGCCTGGGCAGGCTGGCGCCGCGGCTCACTAGGCTAATCCTCTGCCTAGCGGCGCCGGCACACCAGGTTCTAGTCCCGGTTGGGGCGCCGGATTCTGTCCCAGTTGCCCCTCTTCCAGGCCATCTCTCTGCTGTGGCCAGGGAGTGCAGTGGAGGATGGCCCAGGTGCTTGTACCCTGCACCCCATGGGAGACCAGGATAAGTACCTGGCTCCTGCCATCGGATCATCGCGGTGCGCTGGCTGCAGCGTGCCAGCCACGGCGGCCATTGGAGGGTGAACCAACGGAAAGGAAGACCTTTCTCTCTGTCTCTCTCTCTCACTGTCCACTCTGCCTGTCAAAAAAAAAAAAAAAAAAAAAAAAAAAGAAAATGCCTGGGCTGCGTGCTTGCAGCACCTGGATCTAACCATACCTGAAGCTACTTCCAAAAAATGCCTCCCACTCATTGCTCGGGCTACTTTGAGCTGTGCCTCTGTCAAATGCAACTTAAGAGTTCTGCCCAAGACACTTGGGAAGGGACTCGGCCTGGGTTGACAGCAGGGTGCGGCCAGGCGGCTGGACGTCAGAGCCCATGATGAGATCTTGCCTGCCTCTCCCTCGGCGGGGACCCCCCTGGCCACCTGCTCCCTGCCCCACCTCCGGGGCACCCCTCACCTCTGACCAGGACGGGCAGCTCCCCGCGCCCAGTCCCTAGGGAGTTGGTAACGAGGCAGATGAAGGTGGTGTTGACCGACTCGTCCACTTTAGTGATCTGGAGCTGCCGGCCCTGGGCCACGGCAGAGGGTGGCAGGGGACCCGTGGTCCTGGGAGAGAGCAGAGGGAGAGAGTGATCCGGGTGAGGAAGTGGCCCTCCACGGGGACGGGAGAGAGCCGGCCCCACGCGGCCCCATCCCGCCTTTGAGCACTGACCTCCTGGGCCCAGGCTGCTGCCCCCTGCTGGACTCCCTGGCTGCAGCCTGGCCTCCTTGTCTGCCCTCCCCGTGGCCAGCAGAGGGCGCTCGCGGCCCCCCCGAAGTCCGCTCAGAGCCAAGCCTCTCTCGGCTCGCCTAACTCAGCAGGGACCTGCCCCAGACGCCTCTGCCCACGGCACCCATCGCTCTCCCCTTCGCTCCCACAGCCTGGCCCAGCCCCGCCTGGTGCAGCCACCTGGGGCGTGAAGATCTCTCCCTCTCTCTCTCCCCCTTACAAAAAAGAGCAAAGGGACAGGGATCCCTGTGTCCCACCAGTACAGTGACTGGTGACCTGCACATGCAATCGAACCCCCGCAGCTTTAATCTGGGGGCCGTGGGTGCTTCGAGTGCCCGGGAGGCGGGCTGCCGGGCTGCGGGGGGCTGCCGGGCTGCGGGGGGGCTGCGGGGCGGGGCCAGCCGGCGGGATCACGCTGCGGTGGGAGGCGAGTGGGGTCTTGAGTGTTCGCCCGGAGATCCTCAGGACAAAATGTCGGGGGACATGGGGCCCTGTGTGTTGGACCCGGGGAGCTGCGTCCCCAGGCGGCGGGGACACGAGTGGCCCTGTGGGATGTGACTGAGCCGGTCGCACGGGGTGATGGGGAGACGGGATTGTTCAGGGGCCGGAGGTGTGGAGCCGTGTCCAAGTGTGCGATGTGGGTAATCATTAACCCAGATAAGGGCAATAGCGCCGGGCACGCGGAGTGCCGGGTCAGCAATGAGGCCCAGACACACCCAGGGCAGGGCGACCACGGTGAGACTGAGCACCCCTCCACTGCGGCCCTGAGTGTACCACGCTGTCTACTTCCTGCAGCCCTCCTCCCTCACACCCAGGGTCCAGGCCCCGCCCCTTCTCCCTCAGACCCAGGGTCCAGGCCCAGCCCCTCCTCCCTCAGACCCAGGGTCCAGGCCCAGCCCTCCTCCCTCACACCCAGGTCCAGGCCCAGCCCCTCCTCCCTCATACCC